CGTGGAATGTCACCTCGCTGGGGGGGAAGGAGCCTGAGCTTGTGCGGGAGGTCGAGAGATATCGACTAGAAATAGTCGGGCTTGCCTCCACACACAGCGTGGGCTCTGGAACCCATCTCCTCAGGAGGGGCTGAACTCTCTTCTACTCTGGAGTGGCCCATGGGGAGAGGCGGCGGGCTGGAGTGGGTTTGCTTGTTTCCGTCCAGATCAGCCGTCTGGTGTTGGGGTTTACTCCAGTGGATGAGAGGGTCGCATCCCTGCACCTTCAGGTTGGGGACAGGGATCTGACATTCATTCCGGCCTACGGGCCGAGCAGTAGTGCGGAGTACCCAGCCTTCTTGGCATCCTTGTCGGGGGTGCTGGATAGTGCCCCTCCCGGGGCCTCCATTATTCTACTGACTTCAATGTCCACGTGGGAAACGACAGTAACACCTGGAGAAGCATGATCGGGAGGAATGGCCTCCCTGATCTGAATCCGAGTGGTGTTTCTCCCTTTTAACAGGAAGAAACCTCCAGCAGAACCAGGCTCAGTGTGAGCAGCCATCTGCCACGACCAACTGGGTGTTTGAGAGAACAGAGCAGAGACACAAAGAGAACAAAGAAGCACTTATCCAGGAGTTCTTTCTATGGGAAGGAAATGTAAATGTTAATGGATGTAGCTCCTTAAGTCGTTTCACCTAGAAAGAAAAAACAGATAAACTCTGAACCAGTTTTCAAGGTTAGAGCTTGAAAGAGAGCACGGAGAGTTAGTCACAGTAAAAGCTCAGTCAATTGTCATGTCTAGGAGAGAGCAAGGGTTAAACACTGAAAGAAAGGGCCATGTGGATCATCGGTAGAGGGTGAGCATTAAGTTGTTGCCAGCAGAAGCTTGGACGATGCCCCTCTCCAGAAAGGTGTCACAGGTAGACACAGAATCCAGGCCAGGTGCAGCCCCCAGGAAGAGAAAAAAGAGAGAATAAAGTTAACAGCTGAAATAACAGCAAATAATGCAAAATTGGAGAGTAGTGTGAGAATGTACCAAAGAGGGTGAAAGTGGTCATTATGTCCTCCTGCAGCCTAAGCCTATAGCTGCATAACTACAGAGATAGCTCAGGATAACCTAAGCCACCCTAACTATAAGTTTTAACAGAAAGGAAAGTTTTAAGCATAGCCTTAAATGTAGACGGTTTGTCCATCTAGAGCCCACTGATGCCTATTGTTATACTAAAAACCACAACGATTGGGATACCTCTCTCTGTCAGATTGACCATAACCATTGGAAAAGAGAGGGGGTCATACAGGTAGCAGAAATGGAGGGTGTGTTT